GGAGCTGCCACCATGTTCCAGAGAAAGCGCAGCGTCTCCTTCGGCGGCTACGGCTGGTGGGTGCCTTTCCTTTCTATCCCCCCTTTGCTACCGGGAGCGCCGTGCTGCACAAGGAGCTTCTCTTCCCTTTGTGGCCTCAAAGGAGGAAGCGCCATGGTGCTGCGGCGCGTCCCCTTGCGACAGAGCCCCTCCTGCTTCCCCTCGCCAGCGGCAGCCCACGGAGGTTGGGAAGGACCTTCTTTGCGCCATGCCGGTGGGGAAGCCTGGCACAGCTTCAGCGCGTGGGTGCTGATGGGCTCCGGTGAAGGCCCTCCTGAGCCACGTGGGTGCCAAGCAGTGAGATGACCTCCCAGGGGCTCCTGGTGGGCTCCTGTGGGCACATCACCTGCAAGAGCATCCCATCACCAGGAGCGCTGGTGCCGATGGGCTTAGAGATGCTTGAAACCTGCTGGGGGAAACACTGAGTAACTGAGACGGTCGTAGGAGGGCGGTGAACTTGTCAAGAGTTTCAGCAAAGTCTCCTGGGAATAGAAGTGCACACCTTACTGAAGCCAAGCGTTTTTTGTCTCAGCTGGATTTCTGTTTTTCTTTCTATGAAAATAGGAAGGAAGCGCTCTGATAAACGGCTGTAGAAATAAGTTTTGTGAAACATGGGCTCATTTGGGGGCAGAGAGAAGTTGCAGCTCTTGGGCAGCTTTGCCCCGCAGCCGCCGTCGGGAGCGATGGCTCTGGCACCCCGGGCGCATCCCGGGCGCTGCCGCTGTTGGCTGCTCAGGCCGCGATGGAGCGGAGCCGTTATCCCCCTTTGCAGGGGCCTTCGAGGCCGACTGGGCTTTGCTGCTTTGTTTTCCTTCTGCGCTTCGGCAGTTGCAGGGAAAAGATAACCACGAGCCGGAGAGTCACGCAGGAAAATGTGGTCTGATGGCTGTTAGAGGGCTGTGCTGCCGTCGCAGTCCGGGCTGGGGGGAAGCGGGGTGCGCGGCTTGCCCTTAAATACCAGCATCGGTGTCTGCACAGTGCGAAGGGCAGGCAGGGGGTACGGGGGGAGCTCCCAAGTGGGGTCGGTGCCCAACTCCCCCGGGGCCCTGGGGATGACACCCCTGGCAGCTGAGTGTCACCCAGAGCGCAGCCAGGAAAATGCTTCCCCGGGTGTTTACGGA